AGAGACCGGTCCTTAGAGAGGGACATCATGCTTGGGAGGGTAGAGGGACAGCGCAGGAGAGGAAGGCCCTCTATGAGGTGGATCGATTCAGTGATTGGGACAATTGGGATGGGAATGTCAAGAGACAGTGCGATTGGCACAGGACAGAGTGGAGTTTAGGGCTGTTGTACATAGGGTAGCTGTGAGTCGCAGGCGACTCGATGGCACGTAACAACAACAGCAAGCTGTAATTCTTTTCCCTAACAAAGCATTATTTTATAAAACTGGAGTGTGATTTCTGATTCAATTTGAATATGAAATACTTATACATACAATACAATATAAATGTGAACTGGTATAATGCCTTCCACAGAAAGATAGATTAAGGCGCTTTACAAATATACCAATATGTTGACCCAAATTACTTTTTGCTTTAGATTAAAGCAAAAAAGCTAAATGTTTTACTTTAAATACCAATTTTTTTTCTATACCTTTTTATTTCTTAAAGGTACTTTGGGTATCAATAGCAGCAGTATCTAAAAATCCTCCCACTGCATTTTCTAATTTCTAACATTAAGTCAGAATAAAACCTTTTCACTCACAGTTTTGCACTTTTCAACAGCAGAAGGTAGCAACTTTTTAAAAAATTCAATTTCAAAGTGACTTCTTAGTCATACATTCCAGAGTTTCTATTACAAAGATAGAAAAGATACAGCAATAAGGCCTGCCTTAGAGTCTCACTGGACAACATATAATAGTATCTACAATTACATAATTATAGAACACATTTTATAAATACTATTGATATGCATAACCATGGATACATATAAGAAGATAGTACAATACTTTAAGGAGTGTGGAAATTCTTTTAAAAAGAAAACATGTATAACCAATGCTCACTATTGTGGTGAACATCTGTATTTTTTGTGTCGTAGTTTTCATTTTTGGTCAGGAAAACAGATTTTATAGCAGAACTGAATAGAATAAGATATCTCGTAAGCATACTTAAATTACTAAAATTGAAGATACTGCTTGATATGAACATATAGAGTGTATTCAAAGTGGATTTGAAAAAAGCATAACATGTGTAGTGTCCATGACATTTGAGGAGCAAGGGCAATACAGATGAGAGAGGGGAGACGGGAGAGGCAGACAGCATGTTAGATTTCTTACAACGCAAGTGCAACAAAGTTGGCTTTATATTGTTTTTGCACCATAGTCCAAAAGTAACTAAATGGAAATTTAAATAAACCTCACTGAAAAAAAAATCTCAACAAGCAAAAGTAAGATCTTTGCAATGTGAGTACTGAGCGACCTAGTTTGTGCCGTACAGGATTCCATGAGACTGCTCAAATATGTCATGAAGTTAAGGGTGCAGTATCGTTACGTGGTTTTCACAATTTTCTGATTAGAAAAAATCTAACTATAGATTTCAGCACCTTCAAAATGGTGTGCCTGAAAACATCTCAGTAAGAAAGAAAATATACCAGTAAGAAAGATTATTCATAGAGGCATCACATGATACAAAAGGCCTTTTCCATCATATATTATCAGAATTTATACAAAGATGTGCTAATCTTAGTACTGAGGAATAAATTAAAAGCTGAATTCCTAATTTTATGCAAGACAGGAGTCCTTTTGTTCTGCCCATGAAATGCTCCTCAAAGGAAATCCAGTTATCACACATGTGAAATTTCAAGAGCGTTTATTAAATTCCACTTGTGGAGACTTTCTCCCTCAGTAGGAAGGGCAGGGGGCGGGGGGGAAGCCCCAAGTTCCCCTGTGCAATTGTTTTTAAGGCCTTCCTGAGTGCTACTGTCAGCCAGGGAGATTGGGAGGATGGTTGGTGGGCCGGGGGATCAATCATGTGGGTCGACTTTTGATGGGCTGACTACTTTGCCCGCCTTTACTCTTTTTGTGTCATGCAGACCCTAGTTAATGCTTTACTTTGCAAGGACAGATAAGACTTTACCCAGGGCATTCTTGTTTGCCTTAAGCTAAGAATTTTTATGGACTGCTTCTGCTTCTGGTATTAATGGGCTTTTTTTAAAAAATGGGGTTTATGCTGTCCTCTCACTTTACCTAGAATCTGGGGTTCAAGGTGTCCAGAACTCTCTTGAAGCGCTAGGCAACAACAATGTGCATTTTCCCAGGATGATTCCACAGCTTTAATTTCTCAAAAGGATGGGAGCTCTCTGTGGCCTAGTGCTAAAAAGCTGCACTGCAATCCTATTACTCAAATGGTTCAATGACCCCAAAAGACTCAACTCTTCAAGACAGTGGTTCCAGCTGGGCTCCAAAGACCATTCAACAAAGGTGGAGAGTGTGAGCTAGGTATTTTGGCTTCTTCCCAAATCAACCGAAACCATTTTGCCTTCAAATTAATTGCAAATATACATTTAATGCATTTATTTTCCCCTTAACTTTTAAAAAAGTTATGAGTTTGAAAATCACTAGAATTATTAATAGTGTTTTGAAAGAACAATTCATTATTAATGGTGCTAAAGAAAAGAAAATACAAAAAAGGAAAATATAAAAAATTCACTAATGTCAGAAAAGAGCTCTTTGCTCCTTCCCTAAA